GAGAGACATCCTCACACATTTTTAGTGAAAGGGGCAGTTCAGAATAGACTTTGGTGATTCATCATATAGAGATGGGAAGGAGGACTTATTCATGGAAACTCACGGCAAGAGTCCCTCAGAAGGTGGTGGGTGGATATAGTCCCTCCCACCTGCCTGAGGTCAGAGAAAATAACCTTGACCTCAGGAGCCTTGCAAAGATTTGCCTAAAAAGCAAATTTAACTGAAAATTGACTGAATTGGCCCAGTGCAGAGAGAAAGTGGGTGAGATAGAAAAGAAGTGACTTCTTTTTATTTAATGTGATAAAAATCAAACGATTGTTTTTTGCATGCTTATTATATATACTTTCTGGGTTTATTTTTAATACTACATTCTCTTTTCCAATCTAGTGCTTCAAAGCCTAAATGATATTCCTTAAGCTGTAGCGCTGACACACAGTCACAGATTCTCAGTTTATAAGCCGAGTTAGAGCCACAGCCCATATACATGTTGTCCTGTAACATTTAAAAACAAAATTTTAAATGGTGCCCCTTTAAAGCTAGAATATTTCTATAGCTAGACTATAAAGATGAAGTTTCTGGAATGTTTTGAAAAGTCAGAAACTCTAGCAACACTAAATGTAGGGTTCTGGCATGGAAACAATTACCAGGAGCTCAAATGTCGGCTTTTCCATATCAAAGGGACACACGTTGCCCTGTTGAACACAGTACCAACCAGGCTCTATTGTCTATTTCACCTAGCCCACTTTACCTATGTAAATTACCTGTCTGACCTCTGTTGCTGTTTGAGTTTGTGACCTCCCCCCAACAAAAATATATGAAGTCATTGGTAATAGGGAATAAGAAAAAGGCACAGTCCAGAAAGAACTTGAAGCATCCCTTTGGGACTTACCTCTACACTAAAACATAGATGTAATGTCCTACTGTCCATATTGGCTGCAAAATAAATATTTGTGATTGTCTGATACTTTTGGCTCAGTCTTTGACAGGGGCAATGGAATATTCCTATACTTCCAAGGGCATGAATCTGGGGTTACGGCTTTCTTAGAGAAGGTTTAAACCCTTGAGCCCTGTTTGGCCTTGGCCGGTGAAATGGAAATAGACATGCAGGGACATTTGTTATTGTTTTCCCTTTACCATTCTCAACGGCTGAACAGTTCTTTCAGTTCTCATCATTTCTAACATGCCATGGCCTTCTCTAACCCAAGATCTTTCTATTTCTCTGGGTATGTGGCTAATGGGAGCAGGTAGGACAAGATCCTTATTTCAGCCCTCAATTGCAAAATGACATATGAATCTGATGAATTTTCACATTTTGTTTTATTCAAAATGTCTCATTGCCTCCCTCCCAACTTTCTTTTGCTTAAACTTTGGATTTGAAACAACAAAATATTACAGTTGATTATTGCTCTTTAAAGTTTTTTCTTTTTCTCTATGACCAGGCTTTACAAAAAGCCATTTTACTCTAAGAAATTAGGTTTCTGGTTATCAGGAGCCCTAAATAGACATGAATTACAAGAACGTCCTTTGAAAACCCCATGCAGCACTTGTTTCATTAAATTCCATGAAGCGACCTTAATTTAGTGGAACACTGGATGGACTGTTCTTTTAACCTATTATCACTTTGGCCTGGCCCATAAACCATATTCACGGATGATTCCATCAAGAAGGACAACAGTGGGATTAATATTATTTCAGGATACAGTAAATGCCACAGTGATGAAGCTGTTTAAGATCTGGTGCTCACGGTGTCACACTGAATGCATTGACATTTACTCTGCTATCACTTCATTTCCAATATTCCTTCCAAATCAGCCGATGCTAATGTTTCAGCATGTGTGCAGAATACAATATGGGCGGGGGTGGGGACACTGGGAAGGGATTGCATAAGTCCTTTGCCCTCCGTTTTCCTTTTGGTGTTGAGAGTGGGGAACTACACTCGGAGAGTATTTGACATGCAATGGGCCTCACAATGTCAATTGTTAGGGTTGCAGAGGCTCCCAGGGAGTCGTCTTTCTCCTGCAGTTGGATCAAAATAGGCCATGGGCCCCTCTTGGCTGTGACTGAGACCGTGATATGGATCTGATGTGAACCAAGAAAGCACTGGTTGGTGTTGTTAACCTTGATGGTGTGTTGGAATTGAGCACGTATGAAAGTTCAAATGTCTATAACGGTACATCATTTAGAAGCTCTTATCTGTGGTATAATCTCCTTGACCCTTAAACTTGATGCCCCTGACAACAGTATAGGCCTAATGATACTGAATATCTGAAAGCTCATGGGTGATTTTTAGGAATCTCTTTAAAAGAAGCAGCAAAGATGTTATCCAGAATAACATTATTAATGTCTAGTCTCTTAAGGCGTCCCCACTCCTAATTTTGAAGGCAAGATTCTCAGGGTTGGGAGGAAATTTGAAGATTGTCTAGTTCACACTTCTCAAAGTTTAATGTGTCTACAAATCACCTAGAGGACTAGTTAATTCTAATAACTAGGGTCTGGGAGAGTCTAATCCAGTAATTCTGGATTAGGGCTGAGAGTCTGCATAGCATCTAACCCCCAAGCCGTGTAGATGCTTCTGGTCCGTGAATCATCCTGTTGAGTACAGGGTCTAGCCCAACCGCAGCCTGCATTCTCTTATGATGAGCATCTAGTGTACGTTTAAACCCTCTTAGTAGGAGGTACTCATATTCTCTTAAGGCCGTCTGTTCCATCTTGAATGATTCTGAATATTAGCTTTTCTTCATATTGCAGCCATGGTCTCACTCTTTGGACCTGCCAATCACTGGCCCTGGCTCTAGTCCTTGGTCCTGTTCAATACATATGGCAAGGCAAGGAAACAACTCTCCTATTGAAAAGAGGGCAACTCACCAGGTGGGGAGAGAGCGCTAACCCAGGGGTAATTTTTGTCTCCTTGGGGTTCACCATTCCTATTGACTTCACTGCCCTCTCTTGGCCCCTGAAGGCTCATGCTGGTTCTTGGTTTGCCTCCCACTCTCTGTGCCCCAATTGGATGATATTTTCCTCTCTTTTGAACTCTCACATCCTATATGTGTGTGTGTGTGTGTGTGTGTGTGTATATATATATATATATATATATATATATATATATATATATATATTTCGTGTGTGTGTGCATCGTAAAATTCAATTTATTCCCTGCCCCGATTATAAATCCACGAAAGCAGAGATTATGTCTTATGCTTCTTCAATTTCTCTACAGTGCCTTGCACATACTAAGAGCTCAAACCATGTGTATTATTTTGAGTAACACATAGAAACTACTTCAAGGAATTTATAGCAGTAACACAACAAAACGTAAAGACTGTAACATAGTAAATTGTCACACTAGCTAGTAGTACCACAGGTGGATTCAGAGATAGGAAAAGTTCAGTGTAGACAGGAAGAGTGGCAAAGGGCTTTGTGGACAAAGGGGAGAGGAGTTGTAAATTTAAATTGTCTGGACATAACTCATACTTCAGCTAAGGATTCTGGGGCTAGATAGGAAAAGAGCCTAGTAGACAGTATAGGAATCCACATGGTTCCTTCCAAGGAAGTTGGGGGAGGGAAGAGATATAACTTGGGTGGATTCAAGTCAGAAGTCAGCACATTTTTTCAGTCAAGGATAGTAAATATTTTAGGATTTATGGACAATGTGGTTTCTGTTGTAATATTCAACTCTGCCATTGCAGCGTGAAAGCAGCCATAGACCATATGTAAATGAATTGGCATCAGGGTGTTCCAACAAAACTTTATGGACACGCAAATTTCAATTTCATATACTTTTCATGTATCATGAGATATTATTCTTGTTTAGACACTTTCCAACCATTTAAAAATGTAAAAACCATCCTTAGCTTGGGTGCCGTACTAAAACAGGTAGTGAGTTGGATCTGGCCTGGATTGTGGTTTGCTGATGCCTGCTTGATGGCTTGGGTGTCTGTTAAACACTTCACCAGCAAGGATTCTGGGGATGGATGATTGGAGATAGATATCACCCCTCAAGAAGAGAGCCATCAGTAGCATTCATGAAAGAGCAACTGAGGAAAGTGTGCGAGGCTAGAAGTGAGGTGTTATTTTACAGGCGTGGCTGGTCCTCCTTGTGAGAGCGAGGATGTGGAGAGACTTTGATAATTATTCTCTTCCTTCCCCCAACCCCTAGTTCTCCTCCTCTTATTCCTTATCTTCTCTCCTGTGACTTTTCTGACTCCACCTTTCCATCGCATCATTTTTCTACCTCATCAAGTCTCCTATGGTGTATCCTCAGGCTTTTAGAATTATGTAAATACAATTTTGTTTCCTTGCAAAAACATCCTTAATATTTTGGAATATGATCACTATCTTTATCTGATAAAATTAATTTTTCGGGCTTCCCTGGTGGCGCAGTGGTTGAGAGTCCGCCTGCCGATGCAGGGGACACGGGTTCGTGCCCCGGTCCGGGAGGATCCCACATGCCGCGGAGCGGCTGGGCCCGTGAGCCATGGCCGCTTAGCCTGTGCGTCCGGAGCCTGTGCTCCGCAACGGGAGGGGCCACAACAGTGAGAGGTCCGCATACCGCAAAAAAAAAAAAAAAAAAAATTAATTTTTCTGTATGTAATATGGACATAGGAAATGAACAGTCTGTACGAAATATTTGGGAAAGCATGTATTTTGGGGAGAAAAAGAGACAGATGCATGTCCAGAAAAAGTAGAACCAACCAGCTCTGGGACTTGGAAGAACCACTTTTTCTCAGGAGAAGCAGGGCAGAGACACTGAGTTCAGTGTGGGATGTGTCGAGCCTGCATTGCCAGGATGAAGTTTGATAACCAACCAGGGGGACATATTTAATAGGTAGTTGGCTGATCAGGTCCAGAATCTAGGAGAGAGGAATGGGCCGGAGATAGAGATTTGGGAATCATCACCCACTTTTGCAGTGGGGTGCGCCTCCGTTATTGGCAAAAGAGGGGCCGTGCGACTTCTGAGCTAGGTCATAAGGTGATATGGCTTCTGATTGGCTTTCTGTCAGGGGATGGTCACCCTGGGAGTGTAGCCACCACGTGGAAACCCAGACCACGTGGAGAGGCTACGAATAGGTGTTGTGGCTGACGACACCCTGCTACTATCTCAGCTTCATCCACCATCAGCTGCCAGGGATGTGAATGAAGGAGGCTCCAGATGATTCCAGCCCCCAGCCTTTGGGTCTTCCAGCTGAGAGCCGAGCCAACAAGGAGCTGCTTGAATAGAAAGATAAACGTGGTCTGTTTTCAGCTCTGCTCTTCACCTTGGTCTGAGCCATGAGGTCGCTGGGTTTAAACTCTGGCTTAGCATCAACCTGCTTTGGAGCAGGTGATGGGGGTTCTGGATACGTCTAGAACAAGCCACCCTCACCTGCTTCCCGCTCTGCCGGTTAATGAATGGACTTGGCTGTTTGCAGTTTGAACTGGGTCCCGTCTCTCTTCTCCATCTCTTGAGCCCTCTCCCCAGGATGGGCTTCTCCTCCTCTGCGGCCCTCTCTGTTCATGAGGACATCGTGGAGCAGTCAAAGCTGGACCAACACAGAGTCAGGAGCTGGGTGGTGTCGGGTCCTCCCAGCACCGGATGCCACGCCCCCTCCTCTCATGGGTCCTCTGAGGAACAATGCGCAGGTGCAGCGGACCCGTTGTATACAGGGCTCTCGGTGTGGGGAGAGCCGCGGACGACGGGCTAGGCATTTGAAGGCTTGCTTCATTTTCTGTTTCCCCTTTTTAAGACCATGAGCCTCTGGAAGCTTTGACAGCATTAACGATTGGCTGAGTGCAGTGGTCAGCCTCCCTTGGTGGGCTGAGCTGGTGAGGGGGGCCGGCATCTGGCTTAAACTGATGAAAGGCAGGAAATTCAGAATCACGTCCCGATCCTTTGTGCTTCGGTTTAGGGTTCTTCAAGGCCAGCTGACAGAGAGCTGCCAGGCCCAGAAATAAGCTTGTTTTTTGAGTTGAGGGCACAGTGCTCAGGGTGGAGGCTGGGGGAGATCCCAGATGCTGAAGCCTCTTTCCCACGCGGTGGCAGGGGCAGGGCTGTGGGTCTTGGGTGGAAGCAGTGAGGTTTTGCATGAATTCTTTTCTGATTGGCTCTTAAGTCTTTTCTCCCGGGAACACCTATGGTCTTTGCTTTCTTTCTGACAAGATCGCTGACCAGGGAGCCACAGGCCTTGCCCCTAGCTGGCAGTGCAGCCAGATATAAACAAGCAGAGGGCAGGGCCTGGTGTCAAACATTATGTTTACTAAACAAAACCGACAAGTTCTCATTGTTGAGTGAGGACGCCCTGCAACTCTCAATCCCCCAGAGCTGAAGAGGATCCATTTTATTGAGCTCTGTAATGACAGCCCAGCTGGAGCAGCTGGGTAGTTTGTATTAACTCTAAGAGACCCAGGAGGACCGTTTTTCTTTAGGAAAATTATGTTTTTCATTTAGACCAACAATAGCCTGACTGTCTCAGCCTACCTTCCCATAATCTTAAAAAGAGTGGTACAATCAGAGCCCAGATTGCTCCGCCAATACTTACCATGGCCAGAGTTAGCAAATAAAATAGGGGACACCTACAGGTAAATTTGAATTTCAGATACTTTTCTAGTATAAGTATGTCCTATGTAATATTTGGGACAGACTATTACTAAAAAAGTATTTGTGGCTTTATTGGAAATTTAGATTTAATGGAGCAGTCTGGATTTTATCTGGCAATAGGTGATGACTTTCTAAACATCCCTGCTTACATACCTGTGGTGACAGGGACTCACTACCTTTCAAAACAATCATTCTGTCATCAGACAGGGGCAATTGCTAGAAAGCTCTTCTGCATATTAAGATGGCATTCTTACACATCTGATGCTCGTGTGAACTTCTGGGGCCCCTTGGAATATGCCTAATTCATCTGCCATGTGACAACACTCCAAATGTTCATTAACAGCCCTGTGTCTCCTTGAATTTTCTCTTCTTCAACCTGAACATCTCCCGCTCTTTAAATTTTTCCTCAAGTGATGTGGTTTCAGGGCTGCAAACCCTCCGCTGAAATGTGCTCTGGCTTGTTTAGAGCCTTTGTAATCAGGTGGGATCTGGAGGCCTGAATAATGACTCCAAAGACATGGCTTTGTGCCTGTTGTCACAAGTCCACATTCACCATGCCAGGGAAGTTCTGGCCTCCTGAGCTGGGCTTAGTCACAGATCCTTTCCTGAAGCAGTGCTGCTAGCCGTCAGAGTGGAACTTAGGAGTCGTTGGAGAAGTGAACACTCCTTGCTATAGGATGAATGTTTGTGTCCCCCTCAAAGTCCATATGTTGAAACTTAATCTCCAGTGTGATGGTATTTGAAGGTGATGCCTTTGGGAGGTGATTAGGTCATGAAGGTGGAGCCCTTATGAATAGGATTACTGCCTGTATAAGACACCCCCTTGCCCCTTCTATCATGTGAGGACACAGGGAGAAGACGGCCATCTGTGAACCTGAAGCAAGCTCTTATCAGACACCATATCTGCCGGTGCTTTGGTCTTGGACTTCCCAGCCTCCAGAACTGTGAGAAATAAATTTCTGTTGTTTATAAGCCATCCAGTCTGTGGTATTTTTGTTACAGCAGCCCAAGTAGACTAAGACACAACAAATTGGCAGCCCTATTCTTACTTTAAGTGATAGCTGGCAGTTAGGACATTAGCATCACCAAAAGTCATGTTATATGTATGGACTCCAAGGGGGGAAAGCGGGGTGGGGGTGGGATGAACTGGGAGATTGGGATTGAATACATACACTAATATGTATAAAATAGATAACTAATAAGAACCTGCTGTATAAAATATAAATAAAATAAAATAAAATAAAATGTTATATATTCATGAAACAGACCTAGTAACAAGAATATACATTTCTAGTTCAGGTCAGATTGGAATTGTGGATAAAAACATCAAGCTGGATTCAGAGATTTGTTACAGACTGATGGTGGAACTTTGGGAAAGTCACTTATGTCTCTGGCTCTCAGCATCTTCATCTGAGAAAACAAGGCATTTGATTTAATTCTCGAAGGCAGAAGACTGTCTCACATAGGCTGTGGTCATGGCTATGGCCATGTGAAGCTGACTGGAATAAAACAGATTAAAAAAAAACAACAAAGAAAAGTAGTAATTATTCTAGATCTAAATGACTCTGTTTCTCAGCTTTCCTTGGACAGGAAAGGGTTAGAAAATTAAGTGTGGGCCGCCCATTGTCTGCGTGTCTGCAAGCTCTTCATGACTGGTCCATGACAAAGCAATGCAGAACTGGAGAAGTGTTTAGAAACATTTAAATCCATTTGACATTGTTGTGACATCCAAGTGTATGATCAGCGGGTCGTTTCCTTCAATAGGGTGTGGACCAGTCTGGGTGCTCTTGAAGCTGTGGGTGGTGCGTGGCATGTGACATGAGCTGTGTACCAGTCACTTGAAGTAGAACCATGTCTTGATCTGTAATGGATTAGAAATAAAGAAAAAAGTCAGTTCGTTACCAGCCAGATTGAGGCAGAGCTTCCTCAATGGCATGCCATTCTTGAATTACAGGTGTGCCTAGGAGTTGTGCCCTTGGCCCATGGGGTACCTGGGAGAAGCCTGGGCCAGTTTGGGACCAGCCATTAGACCAAGTTACCTCTGGCCATGAGTAATTAAAGTACTATACAAATATTATCATTTTCTACATGTGCCTTGAAGTGAATAAAGTTGGAAAGTGCTACCTTTTCTCCAAAAAAGCAAATAGGCAAAGAGAGGACTGGGCTAATTGTTCTTTAGACCACAGCCTCCAAATAAACTGGCTTAACCTAGTGGTTCAAATTGGAAACCCGCTCCCAGGCAAAAATGTCACAACTCTTCTTCCCCTCATGTCTACCTTTCTTTTAAAATTAAATTTAGATTTATCACAGAAATATATGCATGTCCCTTAAAATCAAGCAGTACAAAGATAGAAAACATGGGTCTTCTGTACCTCCCCTCCAAGTTCTGTTCAGGTTCCCCAGAAGTAGTCACTTTCTAGTTGGAACTTCAGTGTTTATGGAAAGAGGATCCTGCAGGGAAATGCCCTGATTTCCCCACAGAACCCCAGCAGGCACAGTGCTGGAGACACCAGCACTGTCAATGCACCATTGGGGAGGTTGTGTGAAAGTCTGAACGCACAGCAGTTGGACCATGGACTTCCCCGAGGCCACCTCACCCATCCGTCACAGCCAGGCAACTCCTCCTTGCTACATTTCTTCTCACAATACCCTCTCCTTCACCCACCCTCCACAGAAGTCCAGACGTTTAAGCTCTGGCAAAAAGGAATCTGAGGGACTTTGGACTCTGAAATGCTGGGTGCAGCAGAAGGCAGAGGTGAGGCTTGGGCTGAAAACTAGAGTGTTCTGTGAATGTCTACATGCTGAACTGTGCCACCCCCAGGCCCTCTCTCTGACTTGCTATCAGAATTATCAAAGCTAGAGGTGGCCTAGCAAAGGAAATAATCAACAGGGCGGGGAGACAACCTATGGAATAAGAGAAAATATTTGCAAACCACCTATCTGATAAGGGGCTAATATCCAAAATATATAAAGAACTTGTACAACTCAATAGCAAAAACAACAAACAAACCTCCCCCAAACAATCTGATTAAAAAATGGGCAGTGGGGCTTCCCTGGTGGCGCAGTGGTTGAGAGTCCGCCTGCCGATGCAGGGGACATTGGTTCATGCCCCGGTCCGGGATGATCCCACATGCCGCGGAGCGGCTGGGCTCGTGAGCCGTGGAGGCTGAGCCTGCGCATCCGGAGCCTGTGCTCCACAACGGGATAGGCCACAACAGTGAGAGGCCCGCGTACCACAAAATAAGAAAAAAAAAAAAAAATGGGCAGTGGACTTGAACAGACATTTTCCAAAGAAGACATATAAATGGCCAACAGGTATATAAAAAGGAGTAAAGTAAGTCAGAAAGAGAAAAACAAATATTGCATATAACACATATGTGGAATCCAGAAAAATGGTACAGATGAACCTATTTGCAGGACAAGAATAGAGACACAGGTGTAAAGAACAGATGTGTGGACACAGGGCGGGAAGGAGAGGGTGGGATAAACTGGGAGATTGGGATTGACACATGTGCACTGCCATGTGTAAAACAGCGAGTGGGAACCTGCTGTGTAGTGCAGGGAGCACAGCTTGGTGCTCTGTAGTGACCTAGAGGGGTGGGAGGGAGTTCCAGGAGGGAGGGGATATACGTATACATTTAGCTGATTCACTTAATTGTACAGCAGAAACTACAACATTGTAACATTGTAAAGCAACTATACCCCAAATAAAAGAAAAAAAGAGGCTAAACATCACTAATCATCAGAGAAATGCAAACAAAGACCATTATGAGATACCACCTCATACCTGTTAGGATGGCTATTATCGAAAAAACGAGAGACAAGTGTTGGTGAGCATGTAGAGCAATGGGAACCTTAGGGCACCGGTGGTGGGAGTTTGAATTGGTGCAGCCACTATGGAAAATGGTATTGAAGTTCCAAAAAAAATTAAAAGTAGAACTACCATACAGTCCAGCAGTTCCACTTCTGGGTATTTATCCAAAGGAAATGAAAACACTATCTCAAAAAGACGTCTACACCTCCATGTCCATTGCAGCATTATTTGCAATAGCCAAGATATGGAAAGAACACAAGTGTCCATCAATAGATGAAATGGGCAAAGAAAATGTGGTAAATATATACAATGGCATATTACTCAGCCATGAAAAGGAAGGGAGCGCTGTCATTTGTGACAGCATGAATGGACCTTGAGGGCATTTTTCTAAGTAAAATATGTCAGAGAAAGAAGGATGAATACTGTATGATCTTACACGTGGAAAGTAAAAAAGTTGAACTCATAGAAACAGAGAGTAGAATGGAAGTGGGGGAAATGGAGAGATGTTGGTCAAAAGGGTACAAACTTCCATTTGTAGGATGAATAAGTTCTGGGGATCTATTGCACAGCATGGTAACTATAGTTAACAATACTGTATTATTTACTTGAAGGTTGCTGGGAGAATAAATAAATCTTAAATGTTCTCACCACACACACACACTTAAGTAATTATATGAGGTGGTAGATGTGTTAACTAACCTTATTATGGTAATCATTTTGCAATATACCTGTAGCAAATCATGACACTGTATACTTTAAACTCAGACAATGTTAAATGTCAATTGTATCTCAATAAAGCTGGGAAAAAGTTTAAAAAAATAAAGGAATGCTACAAGAAGATCAGAATATTTTTATCTAGAGAAGCTAAGTGTCCCCAAGGAGAGACCCAGATACCAGTGTTTGGAGGACCCTAGTGAAAAGGCCAGCTGTCATCTGATTGCCCTCCAGTGATCTCCAGCTGTCAGCTAGTCCCACCCTCCTATACTGCACTTCCAACAGGCTTTCGGTTGCCTCACACTTAAATATAAATGGACAGCCAAGGATCATGAGCCATTTGAGAGAGTCTGCCAACAGGAAAGATAGATGCTGTAGTAGATTGATTTTGTTACTCATCCCAATTAATGTTCTCCCTGTCTTCATGTCTTTTGCCCTGTGAATCCCGCTACTAGTCTGCCAGAGAAATGTGAGAGGCACAAGCAGAAGAGCCAAGACCTCCAAATCCAGGCCATTCTAGACCAGTCAAATCCCAGTAGTCCTGCCAGACAAACACAGGTGTGTGAATATGACCAGCCAAGATCAGCCAAGCCTGACCCAGATGACTCATAGACCAAGCACCGCCGTCTCTGAGGAAAACAAAATTCTATGGCATCAAATATGTAATTTATTAGTGTGGATGAATACATCCCCTGCCTTCCCTTCTGCACCATCCAGCCCCATCCCCTTACTGCTTGAGGTTTAAGAACACCTCTTCTGCAGGTGTGATGCTCTGGGCCCCATCCTAAGGAGAAGAGGAGGCGATGGACAGAAGCAAGGAAAACCAGACGCCAGACAGGCCTTGCTGGACACAGCTTCATCCTCTGGCTGTTGGTGTTGCTTGATGATGATCTCCTCGGTATTTCTGTCCTTGGGTTGGTGAGAAGTCCCGGGATGCCAAGTAAAACTGGATCCTAAACTCAAGTCTTGGCCTAGGGAAACCCTTAGGCTTGTCTGTAAAGCTTGAGGTGGAGGAAACTGTGAAGTGGGTAAAATCGTCTACCACACCAGCCCTAGGCTATTCCTTTCCATGGCCCGCCCTCCCTCTCTCTCTTCCTCCTCCCTCCTTCCCTCCCTCCCTCCCTCCCTCCCTTATTTCCTTCCTTCCTTCCTTCCCTCCCTATACCCAAGGTATATACAACTCTCTCCTTCCACCAGTCTCATTTCAGGAAAGAATCTGCTTAAACTCAGGAAACATTTAAATGTTGCCTTTCTCAGTATATCTTACAATTCAAGTCTTGTTTCTAACCAGGATACAAGATTTTTACTATTTGGAAAGAATTTTCTCCAGAAGGTGGAAATCCTTTTGAAGGGGATGGGGTTTTGTGTGTTTCAATGATCTTGAAATGCTAACCTGTGGTTGAAGCCCAGTCCTGGCACTTTTCTTTTGCCAGAAACATTCTAGAGCC